AGAATGGAAAGAAGGTCAGCTGAAATGTCCCATTCAACTTTAGCTGGAAAAATATCTAAGAAAACAGATGGAGTGATGGTTAGGAAGGATCACTCTACAGAGGTTTTTGGATTTAATTTTTATTAAAAGAAACCATACAAATCTATTTTTAAATAAAAGACACATAAAGACAACAGGCCATTCAAAAGTCAAGGTATGATATTTGCTACATGTGATGACAAGTACAATGATTTTCTGTTCCCCTCCAGCAATAATTAGAAATTGTACCATTGTTGTGTGCGTGTGCAGAAAACATAGTATAAAATATTGTAATTAGAATACAAGATTAAGGCAAAGTTTCCTTGAAGATTTAGAAAAGTAAGTAAGATGTATTTATAGCACTTTTTACTGATAAAAATCACAAAGTGCTTCACAATAAAACCAGAAATATAAAAAAAACAAAACAATGAAAAAATTAATTAAAAACTTGTTTGTATAGAAATGTCTTCAGCTGCTTTTTGAAAGAGTCAGTGGCGTAAAGACAATGGAAGAGAATACCACAGCTTTGGTGCGTGAAAAGCCCGATCCCCACAGGTTTGGTACGTAGGACCAACCGTGACCTCTGACCTGAAGACCTAAGAGCAGGGAAGAATCATGAGGTTTCAACATGTCAGAGACAAAACCCAACCACGATGCTAGATGTACAATCCACACTTACTATTTTGAGGAATTACATCAAATCAATAGCTGACATTCTTTTAATAAAGTAAGACTTTAAAAAGATTAAACTAATGGATAATATTATAGGTCAATAAAACCATTTGTCTTTAAGAGGTCAGTCCACCCCCCTCTTTACTTCAGTACTGCACAGGTTTTCTGCTATTGCACAATACAACTTAATGAACTGTCAAACACTGAAGAACAAAATGTTGAGAGCACAATATGAGCTGTTCACGTCTTCTTTTTGAAGATACTGAAGACAGATGAGTGAGCTACAGTACTGTGCAAAAGTCTTGAGCGACCCTCATTTCTTTATATTTTGCTTCTAAGGAGCTAAACTTTCTTGTAACATTTTAAACTGCTCATGATCAGCAGTTCTCTAAGATTTCTAAAGCTCTTTTACAGTTATACTTTCATCAATGCCTACTTTACAGTCTATTCAGTCAGTGTCAACAGGTCGTATGGATTGAGAAATCCAAAAAAAAGCATATCTGGGTAGAAAACTGTTAGTCATGGTCTGGGCCTCAACACTATCTCAATGGAAAATGGAATAAAGGCAGCCAGAATCTTGCCTATGAGAGTTCAGGCTATGTAGAAGAATAAGGTTGGTCATATGAAATATTTAAAGTTCCTTACTCTGTTTATACATTTGTGTACACATATACTGCAGATACTGTATTTCCATGTATTTTTACATGTTTTAATACATTGTTGAACCATTTTCCTAATAAGATATAAAGAAACGAGGGGCAGCTCAAGCCTTTTGCATAGTATTGTAAATGTGGTGAGGATGCAGCTGAACTGGAACGTTCCTCATTTCAACATAGGTGGAGTTTTCACAATCTTTGCTGCTGTTCTGAAACAAAAAAAACACAAAAGTGACACATTACCTACAGCAGGGTTTCTTTTCAGGTAATTAGTTTAGTAACATTAAGTGCAGAGGAGATGCAGACATTTTGGTTTTCAGTTTGCGTCATTCTTTTGATAGCTTTATTCTGTTAAATGTATTTAATAATAATACTGCTGTTAAAACTGGGTGTTTTTATGGATTTCTTTCAGTATCTTATTAACTGTCTGCTAACTCAACTGTCTACAAATTGTGAAACAATCCAGATCAATGGTCTTCAATGTAAAATAGAATAACTTTCTCCAGTACATAACATTAAAAGTTTCCAAGAATCAGGAGAAATCTTTATGCTCGAGGGACAAACGATCAAAGTCACAATCCTCCGGTCGGCATCGTCGAAAACTCTTCTGTGGTCAGATGAAGCAAAATTTGCAAACATGGACAGTGATTCTTTGGGATCAGAGAAAACAGGGAGAAAAAGGCTGATGTGGAAGAAGAAGTAGAGTGAAAATCAGCAGCACCGGGTTTTTGGTTCACATTGGCATCAAGGTATAGAGAGGAGGTGAGGAAAGAGGTGGAATAGTGAGTGTATACAGCCAACTGTAAAACACAGCGTGATGGTTCGGGTCCACATTTCAACAGTGGTGTTGGGACGCTTGTCAAAATTGATGGAATTTATGTAACAAAGAAAAGCAGTAAGAATTTGAAAGTCTTTTAACTCTAAAAACCTTACAGACTGATTTCACATCAGTTCTGTTACAAGGGCTGGAGCCTTTGCTTAGCAGGCGTTTTACAATCTCATAGCAGGAAATGATGCATTAATACTGCATTCGGTTTTGGGGGCGTCCTGCTTTTGTGCGTTTTATATTCACAGTCAGCTTATTAGGAAACATTATAAATTTAACTTGTGTGTGTCTAACTGTAACAACTCAATGTCTGATGTCAATAAAAATCTGTGTGGGTCAGTGGGCGTACAGCTTTTACTTTGATGTTTCATTTCAAAGGACTCTTGAGGTTGACACAGAACATCCACTGTGTTATGATCTGAACAATGATTTTATGGCTTTGTATCGTCTGCTGTGAATGTAAAAAAAAGCAGCTTATAAACAGCTTATACTGAGTTGGAAACAAAAATCTTTTTAAATTTTAATTGGAAAAACAAACAAATATGATTTTAGACTAAGAAAGTCTCAAAATAACAATGATCAAAAGAAGCTCCCCGAGCCCTCAACAACAGTGAAAGCTGTGGTCACATCATAGACCTTATATAAAAGTTTAAACCTGAACTCTTTCTCATTTAGAAAATGAACTACGGCTGTGTAAACATCTCCCTTCATCTATTACTAGCTGACCAGTGCATCATAAAAGCTGCTTCCAGCTGCTTTGTGGGCCTTTTAATGTTGCATCCAGGCAAGATGATGACAAACATCTGATAAAAAAACACACTAAGACATATAAAGACATATATCGTAAATTACTCAGAAAAATAGTAATTCTGACAGATAGTCACCATAAGCCTCATGTAGAAGGAGGTGATGATACAGCTGTACACAAACATCAGGGCCAGCAGACCAATCAAAATCCACATGAGCTGATGGGACTGAGGGGGAGGAGGTGAAGGGGGAGGAGTACACTGTGGTGTCGTTCCCAGTTGACCTAATAAAAACAGTGGTTACTTCCTGTTTGTACTTCAGTGGTTTGATTGACGTCACTAAACACAACTACATGAACAGCAGCCAGTTTCACGTTCAGAAACCTGCCTTATTAGGTTTTGTTGTAAAGACTGTTTTGCACATTTAGCAGCACAGAGTATCCAGTCAGCTTCGTCAGTAGCGTGGGTGTAGTTTGATCAGATCTGACCAGCGATGCAAGGAAGTCAAACTTTGATTTAGATTCTGTTAAAAGATTCTGTCTGCTTAAACCACTGAAACGATACAGACTAAAATCTCTGAGGTGAAAGTGATCCAACCTTTAAATCTTTGCCTGCACAGAAATGATTTTGTATTTTTAATTTTAAGAGTCAACAACAGGTTTCAAAGGCTTGCAGTATTTCTGTGATAGTTTCTTTACAAAGTGGTAACTGTAAGGAGCAATCTCTTGGACAATTAACCCTCTGAGGTCTAATTTGTCATCAGCAATAACACTCATCACAGCCTTAACCATGAGGTAAACTGAGATCGTTTTAATGCATAACAGAGCTACATTTTGCCCTGATTGCCAGAGAATGAGAATGTTGATGGTTCAACCCTGGCTACTGCAGTCTGTATGCCAAATATCCTCAGGTAAGACATTTACCCCAAGATGCATCAAAATGTGCAAATGTTAGAAAAAATGCTTGTGTGAAATAGTGAACGAGGCATGCTGTGTAACCACTTTGAGTGCTCAGAGCAGAAAAACCCGTCGATTTACCATTTCCTTCATTCTGATTGAAGATTCTGGGTGTCTGTGTTGATACAGTGCTAACAGTCTTAACAGAGTTTACCTGCATATCCTTCTAAGACACAGCAATGCATTTTTGTCCTGTGTGGGGGACTTAAATGTGAGACGTCCACATCAAGCACCAGCTATGCAATCTATGAGTCCTACTGCACAGTAAAGAGGACATCCTGGTTTGGGCTAAAAGACCACATGGACTTTGCAACTTGGACACAAGGGAGGTTGAGTCACAATGTCTTTGCTGACTTTATGATTCTGTTGCTAAAAAGTCTCAAGTCTTAACTTTGATTTAGTAGGATCGTGGGTTTGTATTTGCAACTTTAACAACACATAGTTCCTAATTTCACCACCTCCAAATCAAAACTTTTAGTCTGTACCTTTGAATTGCACAGCAGGACTTACTGTGCTTATACTTATACTGCGTTTCCTGTCTTATTTTGATAGTCTTGTGCATTATGTTTATGTGTCCCTGCTGCGTTCACAGCTGTCTCCCCTGATCTTGTGCGTATGTTGTCTAGGACTCTTCCCGTGTGGCTCCCAGGCCCAGCAGTGGCCCGACCAGTGAGCAATTAGGCCGAAACCTAACTTTGCCCTCCCCAGTAACAAAATGCAAAGTGCAAAAACAGTTCTGATAAACAGAACAAGCCGTGTGCAGAGCTAAACTGTGACTTGTTCCAAACTGGAAACTGCTCTTTAGAGGGAGACTGTAACCTCAACTATTCTAACAGCATCTGACAGAATCACAGTATTCGATTGAAATGTGGACGTTCTGTTGCATCATTTGTCATTTCAGTCTTTCACTTCTGCAGACAAAAAATAAATAAATAAATAAATAAAATGCAATTTCTGTTTTTATCACGTTTTGTATATACATACCTTGTAGTTGCAGTTTAATTAATGTGTTTGCTGCACTTGACACGGTTATGTCCGTCCCATCCTCTTTTGATGCTGACCACTCACATTCATACTTCGAGGTCCATGCCTCTGGCCCAGCATTGAGTAAGATGAATAAGTACTTGAATGGAGTGTCTTTAAGTACGATAATGTTATGACAGGCTTGAGATTCAGTCTGACAGAGCATCTTTCTGAAAGGAAACAGAAATATTAGATATGCAGCTAGCATGACCCAGTCTCATTATTTTAATTGAAATAATGTTAAAATTGCAGCAGGCAGAATTCTTGAAAATGGGAAAAGAAAACCTGCAGATTTTTGAACATAGAACTGCTACAGACTTCATACAGACACCTTTTTGTCATACAAACATTTGATCACAAACATAAAGAGAACTTCAGCAAACATGAGTTCATACAAGTAGTACGAGAATTTCTCAACGTTCTGCAGTGAAAGAGAAAAGCTCGTTTTTGTCTCAAAAACAATTTCACTAAAACCAAGAGACATGCTTCGACATACTTCTCTGGTAAAACCTTGTTGAGTCGAACATCTACAATTGTCCCAGTGTTTGCTGTAAAGTTACAGCTGATGAAAACTGTATCTGGGTTATTCGTCTTATTCTGTGGCTGGATCACCTCAAAACCTGATAAAAAGAAATTAGAAACAAGGTTAAGACTTGTGGAGAGACATCTAAGGGTAAATGTTTTTATTTGCTGTACCTTTCAATAACATAACACACTGACCATGAGAAATGCATATTTGTGTTCTACTGTGGCCATTTCTTTAACTCACTGGATCAGCAGTTCTTATTAATCACTAAAGTTGAAAAATTAATTACTAAAATCAAACTGTTACAGTTTAGAAGGTGAAACTGGAAGTCTTACCATTGCTTGGGTGGAATAACGAGCTCAAATAATAATAAATGAAGAAGCTTTTGAAGCTGGAAAGTATCATCGTCTTCTCCCCGTTGTAGAAAAAAACTGAGCTGATTCTCACCAGATTCTCCTTTTGTACACAGACTGCATTAGAAACTGTCATTTGAACCTTTTGGTTTCTGTGGGCTGTGCTCTTTCCTGTAGTCGTCAGATAACACACATTCATGTTTTCCTTCTTGTTCACTGCCAGAAGAGTTCACATCACACTGTTTCCGGGACTACAGGAAATATTTTGCATTTCTTACCATCTGTTTACGTTATTTGGAGTTACAACTTCACTGGTGCTTCATGTGCAGCTTTGGAAAAAGACTGAAAAGACTTTTTTAACTCATCACTCTAAAATCCTAAGCCATTTAGATCTTGAATTGAATTTGAATTGAATTTTTTTTATTTCAGTCAACAACAACAACAACAACAGATTATAATTTTACATAAAAGTACTCAAACAGTAACCGAAAAAGGAATAGGCTGAAGCCTTATGGCTTATACTTATCCTATCCCTTACCCCCATAGAAATAATCAAATCCTTAACCAAGAAACACATCTTTAGTTCATCATTAAGTCCATCCCATAATTTCACTCCCAAAACTGACACACATCTATACTTAACATTGGTTCACTTTAGGCATTTCAAACTTATAAGACCCCCTCAAATCATATTTTCCATCTCTTAGTTGAAACATACTTAAAATACAAATTGGAACACTCTTTTTCATCACACGATATATAATTTCTAAAGTTTTAGAATATATAATGTCCATGAATTTTAACATAGATGATCCTACAAACAACTGGTTGGTGGACTCCCTATATCCAACTTTATTTATTATTCTAATAGCTCTTTTTTGCAATTTAAATATTGAATCCAAATATGTTTTGTATGTGTTCCCTCAAATTTCTGCACAGTAGGTCATATAAGGCAAACAAAGGGAAGTATACAATAAATAAAGGCAGTTTTTATTCAAAAAATCTCTTGTTTTATAAAGAATAGAAATAGACTTGGATGATTTCCATTTCACATGTTCTATGTGGGGCTTCCAACAAAGTCCAACAAATCTTAGCAAGCACTTTATTATAAATACTATATAAACACTAGGTCAGCCACCTGTTATCAGCCTCAGTTCTTACTGTCATGAGTTTCCAAATATATATTTCAGTGATTGCTTGCACCGGGCCAACATACACTTAGCTAACACTATGACTACTGAAAGGTGAAATGAACGACACTGATCATCAAGAAAAACTGGAAAATGCAGTTCTTGTGGGTGTTTCTGGTCTGAAGTGGTTACTATCAATCAAAAGTGATTCCATGAAGGAACAGTGGTGCACCAGTGACAGGGAACGATGGGAAGAAGGCAAACCAGCTGAGGTAGTGTGCAGTTGGGCAATGTTCTACTACCTTGGGTCCACTGTTGCGGTACACCCCTTAAATGAAAACACACCCATGAATACCCTTTATTGGAAATGGCGTTCCCTGATGGCTGTGGCCTCCTTCATCAGGATAATGCACCTGCCATAAACCAAAAATGTTCAAAAAGAGTTTGAAGAATTAGTTTCAGGTGTTAACTTGGCCTCCAAATTTCAAAGATCTCAATCCAGTTGACCATCTGTGGGATGTTCAGGACAAACAAATCTATTTCACACCACATAATACTAACATCTTGTTGCTAGATGACACAGCACACCTTCAGGGAGCTAGTGGAGACTTGCCTTGATGGGTCAGGGGTGTCATGGCATCAAAAGGCTGATCGTGCCAGCCAGACACCATCTAAACATGACAGCCAGACTTGTGATGACAAAGACCATAATGGAAGGCCTTTGTCATCACATGCTTGAGATCATCATGTGTTTTTTGCTGAACTTATGGGTAGAAAACTACATGAACACCATCCGGAATATGACAGGTGTGGTTGAGTGTTAACAGAGGTGATCCAGTAATGCTGCACTCAGGAATTAGACTAACTATTCACCTTAGCTAAAGTTATTAGGTTAGCTAAAGAGTTGGGATGCTGTGTAAGACATAAAAAAGTAAAATACAATGGTTTGGGCATTCATTTTCACATTTGCCTACTGTGGGGGTCTCTGCAAGCATACGGAGCTGTGAGAGGGTCCAAGATGACAACTGTGGAAACAGTCGATCATATTCATTTGTCAAAGCTGAACCCAGGGCAAACTACGCTAAATTAGTGTTTTTAGGTAACAGCTACAATAAGCATAACAGATAATAACAAGATGAATGACTTCTGAATGCTTAATCTGTACCCCGCCTCAGCTCAAAATGCCGTAGGTCCACTCAGTAACACTGCGCAGGTACAATATAGTTCTGTTAATCGGCACTCGATTACTTTCACGAATGACCCGGATGTATGACCCCAAAAACTGAATTGTACATCTGAAATTGAATGGTGCGAAGTGAAACTGAAAGCATTTAACAGCTAAAATTAAAGAAGGACAGTTTCAAATTAATTAATTTTCAAAATATGAAATTTAGTTTCAATTTAGAGATGACCATTTTCAAACCAATACATTGGATTTCAAATTATGCTAATTCAAATTGAGTTTTAGAAGCTTTCATTCAAGTTGAGCAATTCAAATTCAAATGTAACTTATTCAAATTCAGTTTCTGATGGCACAAAGTTACACAGTTAGCCTTCTTAGACTGTGAGAGTCCCATCAGTAATGGGGGACATCTAAAAGCTGACGTGTACCGTAAACCTCCCTCAGTATCTAAGGTTTGACTCTCATCATCTACTGGAGCACAAACTGGGTGTCATCAGGACACTACAACACAGAGCGAACACCATCCCCACTGACACAGCAGCCAGAGAGGCAGAAGAACATGAAGAAGGCCCTGAGTAAATGTGGTTATCCCAGCCGGACTTTTGTCAAAGCTGGGAA